ACTTCTCTACTCTTGGCTGGGCCCTTAACTCCAAGTCTAGCTCTTTATATCTTTATCTTAAGATTTTTATTCCTTACAAAGTGTAAATTTCCTTTAATTTTCTATTGATTATACTCAGGATGAATTAATTTTTCTTCATCTTTTCACGAGAATAACTAGACAAGTGGTTTTCCACTTTTTCTGCCTCTAGACATGGGAAACAACACCATTATTTACAGCTCTCATAACGCACAATTACTTTAAATCAGACTGTGTTATGTTGTGGGAGGCTCCTTATCAGAATCTGGAACATACAGTTAGCAAAAGCCATTTCTGATGCTCCTCTGCCCTGTCTCTGCCCAGGCCACTCTGCAGATTGTGGATCATTGCCCAGATCCAGATGTTCTTGAAGGCAAGGATTCCCTCTAAATCCCCAACGCCAAATAGGGTCTCTGGCCTACAGGATGTTCTTCATAAATATCTGATGAACAAACATAGATATTGCTGAAGGGAACAAGAAGATACTTGGGACCTGAAGGTTTAGATGAAACAATTAGTAAAAGGGGAAAACGTCATACCCACTTCCCGATTTTGTCAAAAGCTAGCTTGTGGGGAGACAGCATATAAAATAATGAAAACATTTAATTCTCATCAAGGGTTTCTTGTCTTTCTGTCTCTATTACAAAGCAGTTTATTTGCATTATCTCATTTAATGTTCACAGTAATCCATTTTATAGATGAAGAAACTGAGGCTCAGAGAAGGCAGGTCATTTGCCCACAGTCACAGAGCTGAGAAATAATAGAGCCATCTGATTCCAGACTCAGGCAGCCACAGTAATCACAGAGCTAAGATGTCACCACTGCATCAGATCCTCATCAGGGCCTTTTCTTCCCCACCTTTCCCCCCTGTGGGCATTTCTCCAAGTGTTTCCAAACAGAACTAAAGCCTTTCTCATTTCCTTTTTCTACCCTCGATGCAATTTTCGGAAGTATGCCATTCTCCCACCCTTGGTTTCAGGAGCGCCTCCTTCACCCTCTCCACCTCCAGGTAATCAGACCTTGTGGGTTGTTAAACAGAAATACTCAGAGTCCCTTTACCTTTTAGGAATGCCCCTGAGATCTGACCTCTCTCCAACCCCAGCAATCGAAATGCTCCTCAGCCCTCTCTGGAAGGCCTCTCTTAGGAGCCTCAGTCTCTGGTTCTTTGTTCTCCTTCAACCACACTCCAAGCCTCCTGCCTACCGTGTACCCCAGCATCTCTCTATAGCTTCTATCATGCTTGCTGACTAGCGCTAATATGTGTGTGGGGTGTAAGGGCAGGGGTAGAAAGATGACCAACCTGCTCAGCCCTCTGCAAACACTTAGTAGAAGCTGAACTTCAAATGCCAGGCCTGATTTCCATGGTGACACCCCTAGGGATTGTTGCTATGGTAATTCTAGGAGATGCTGGCCACTGGGAATATTACCTCCACTCTCCATTTTCCTTTATGAGACTCCCCTAAAGCTAAAAGGTGCCCTAGCTCCCCCCTTCAAATATCAAAGGAATCCCAGGCCATCCCAAACAATACTGACTCTGTCCCAGAAACCCTGCAGTTCCCAGCCTAGCTTTTCCAAATGAGGTACTTGATGGTCCTGGTTTCTTGCTTTTCTTTAAGAACCCACTTAACCTCTGGGAGACCTGAGAGAAGTAGCAAGTAAACACTTGAATGAAGGAGACAGAGAGAGTTTCCTCACTGTCATCCCTCCCACATCTGGTACAGATAGAGTGGCCCAGACAGCAGGCATTGGGACACTGCTGACAAAAATCAAGGCAGAAAGAGACACAAACAGAAAGACACTTACACGGGTCCAGTAAAAAAGTCATACTGCATGTGTAAAGGGCAAAACAAGACACCTACCATACACAGTGATCCAGACACCCTTCTGCTATGACTCAGGCCATTAAGTTTGGCCAAGCCCCATCCTCCAGGTTCCTATGAGAAGCCCGAGGAGTAGGGGAGAAGTAACACACACAGAGCCGTCTCGTCGGCTTATCCTCTACCTTCTGTCAAGCAGGGCAAAGCCCACAAACATAAAGGACTCTGAAGCCCAGAGCTAGCCTCAGTGCTGCAGGCGCTAACGGGAGCCGTCACAGGAAGGAGAAGGAGAAGGGGCTAGGTTTGGAGAGACAATCTCTCCCACCTTCACTCTTGCCTCACCTTCCCAGACATCCTGAAGTGCCCTCCTCCATTAATTCCTCAAACAGTTCCCCACACACTGGCCCCAAAGGGACTAGAGAAAACAAGAGGAAAGGGGATAGTCAATGTTCTTCACCTGTTCAGAACCCTCCTGTTTCCTATAGCCCTCATTCCCCAGAATGAAGATGAATGGTCAGCCCAAAAATGCCAGCTCCAAGGATGTTGCCTGAGACAAAATGGCCCCCTGTCAGCATTTATCTTCAAGTGAGAGACTGACAGGGAGGGCTAGGTGAGGGACAATACATAGCTAGACAAAGGTACAGCCCTACAAATATCTGGCAAAAACAGACAAGGAAATAGCAGCTGTGGAGCCAAGATAGAGTCAGAATTGGCAGGGGGCCCCGAGTTTCTCTTCATCTCTCCTCTCTTCCCACCTCCCACTGTGCCCTCCTGTTTAGCTGGGCTAAGTGGACAGACCAACCACACAACCCTCCTCCCAGCACTGCATCCTGCCCCATCTCCTCACACCAGGATGAGCCAGAGAGCCTAAAGGAATCAATTTGGCATTTTTGGAAAAACCTTCTAGGGCAAGGAAGTTGTGCCTATGGATTTGTTCCCGATCATCACATGCTTCCCTGAACCCCTGTTTCTCAGCCTTTATGTCTCAGGGCAACCTTAAGTTCCAGTTTTCATAATTAATGCCTGCTGTCCAGGCTACTCAGAGAGCGATCCTCCAGGTTTGAGTCAGCCTTTTTAATTCAGCCTGGCCAGGCTGATCAGGCTACAAGGCCTGAGAGGTCCCTGAGGCCAAGAGAAACAGATGCCCTCTTCATGTGTGTACACACACACACACAGCAAAAGTGCCCATTTGGGCTCGGCGCCTGTGGCTCAAGCAGCTAAGGTGCCAGCCACATACACCTAAGGTGGCGGGTTCGAATCCCCAGCCCGGGCCCGCCAAACAACAATGATGGCTGCAACCAAAAAATGGCCGGGCGTTGTGGCGGGCGCCTATAGTCCCAAGCTACTTGGGAGGCTGAGGCAGGAGACTCGCTTGAGCCCAGGAGTTGGAGGTTGCTGTGAGCTGTGATGCCATGGCACTCTACCCAGGGGGATAGCTTGAGGCTCCGTCTAAAAAAAAAAAAAAAGTGCCCATTTGAGTTCACAGTGGGAGTGAGGGCACCGGGTGGTGACAGACTAGGACCCTTGAGAACAGGTAAGAAGTCTCTCCTTAAGGCATATTTATTCAAAGTCCCATTCTCAATGACTCAGATGGCCCATTCTTCTCCTTCCGCCCTTTCCTTTATTCCTTTATTTATTTATTTATTTATTGGGAGACAGAGTCTCACTATGCCACCCTCGGTAGAGTGCCGTGGCGTCACAGCTCACAACTCCTGGACTCAAGCGATTCTCTTGCCTCAGCCTCCCAAGTGGCGGGGACTACAGGCGCCCACCACAACATCCGGCTATTTTTTTGTTGCAGTTGTCATTGTTGCTTAGCTGGCTGAGGCCGGGCTCAAACCTACCACCTTTTATGTATGTATGTGGCTGGAGCTGTAACCACTGTGTCATGGGCGCTGAGCCTATTCATTCCTCTAACAAGCGTATTTCTAGCTGCTTTGTGCAAAGAATTGTGGATAAAGATATATAAGAAGTGCCCCTGACCTTGAGCACTGCCCTCATATGTGCCCCTCCCTTCTGTGGCTACAGTTTCCTGGCCCAACACCCACAAATCCTGTAAGACTCCACCCTAGACCCTTTCACCTCACACACAGCTTGAAGGTCTCTACCAACCTAGGAAAGGTGCAGTGGGCAAGGCCTAGAAATTCCCTCTGGGCTGTCACAGGTAAAAGTCTAGAACATAAATCTAGTAGACAATGAGATATAAAGGAAAAGATTTTAGATTTGGAGTCACAGATTTGGGTTCAGATCCATGAATCAACAGCATGACCTTGAGAAAGTTACTTAACTTCTTTGGGCCTCAGTTTCCTCATCTGTAAAATGGAAATATTGATACTACTTCAGAGTGTCATTCTGAGTATTAAAGAATGTACATAGAGTAACAAGCACACTGTAAATATTAGTTTGCCTTAAGATCTCCCCCTTGGGCACTGCTGTAATGATGAGGTAGAGGCGGTGGCTACTTTTTATTGGATCATCAAGAGAAAGGATGAATAATCAAGTACTTATCAGCATCTCAAGGTATGGACATTTTTCTTTGCAGGATGGGGGGGTAGTTGGGGAGCCTGAAAGTCCTCTTCTACTGTACTAGGACCAAAAGGCAGACATACCTTTAGGATTCCAGAGGCTCCCCCCTAAACTGGGTGTGGCATCAATGCATTTCTTTCCCAGAAAACCCTTCATCAGACCTGCCCCCCCCCGCCCTCCCCATAACTACTTCAGTGGCTGGTGGAAGGCCTGGTCCTGGAACCCACTCCTGTTCATACCTCTGCAGAGGTATGCCTGCCTCCCACCAAGACCACCTAACAGTCTTCCTCTTCCTTTCCTGGAAGGTGAGGGTAAAGATCGGAGCCAATAACAAAGGGAAGATACGCTTTCTCCGGGGGAGAAAGGGAAAACATCAGAAAAACACAGGACTGGCTCTAAGGGGTGGGGACGCTGCAGAGAGCCCCAAAGGGGAGTTGTGTCTACTGATGGTGAGGAAGTAGCCCCCTCTCACTCTGCAGAGACTTGGCCACAGGCCTGGCCAGGCCACACCCAGCCATCCTGATGCAGGAGAGAGGAGGGGCTGCGGCGAAGAGGATGCAGGATGAGCGGCTTACGCTCCGCAGGGGGAAGATTCAGCCTCCCACCCCCTCCCCGAATTCTCTCTCTGATGGCACTCACCCCAATAACGACGCTGTCGTCCCCCTGGAAAATGGGGATGAACTTGTCCCCCCGCAGAATCTCAGCCTGGTTTAGGGGCCGAAATCGGCAGAGCACCTTGATGCTACATTCGTTGTTGGTCTCCGCCATGGTAGTCGCCGGCGTGGGGCTGGGGTACTTCTTGGGCTTGCAGGGGTGGCGTGTGCTCCGGAGGAGGAGAATGCTCAGCAACCGCCGAGGGGGAGGACAGGTGTTCGGTCTCTGGGGCCGAGAAAGCAGCCGAGGGGGCCCGAGCGAAGTGCGGGGAGGAGGGCCGGGGCGCTTATCCTGCGGCAGCGGGATGCGGACGACCCGGGCGTCTGGTCCTCGCTGGGCGACCTGCCTCTCCGCCCCTCGCGCTGCAGCGCCGCGCTGCGGGCCTGGGCGGGGCCGCGACGAAGCCGCGGGGCGGGGCTCCCTTCGCTTGGGGCGATCGCTCGACGTCTCCCGCCGACTGGTGGCACCGCTCCTCTCGCCCCCTCCCCACACCTCTAATACTCAGAGTTAACCTAGCCGTCACCCCTTCCTACCCAACTCACTCACTGCATCCCACTCCCACACCGCCCACCTCAGAACTCCATCCTCTGGAAGGATGAGGGGACTGAGGTAGGCCTGTCGCTTGCGTAGGGAAGGGGGTCAGCAGCCCTCTGTCCAAGTTTGGAGAACACTTCTCCCTCTCCTACACGCCCAGAAGCTGGGCTCCCACCCTACTCAGCTTTCAAGGGGGACAGCTGCCTGAGCCCCAGTGGAGATGGGTGTCAGGGAGGAGTGTCATGGCAGGCTCTGCTGCCTTTCCCTTCTGAATCCCAAGATGCGCTCTACTGTCTCCCCAGCATACACACTGGTCCCCAGTTGGAGGGAAGACAAACTCCCATTCTGGACTATGAGAATTAAAAAGCAGATAAAATTCTTATTTTTGCCTCGTAGGTTGTGGCTGGAATGAAGGTGGGCAGGAATAACTTTGGCAAGAGAAAGGGAGTCAGAAATGGAAAGAAGGGCGATAGTGGCAGTAGGTAAGGCCAGAGGGGGCTTTGAAAGGACCTCTAGGGCAAACGCTTGCATTTGGATTTCAGACAGGTTTAGGCACTTTCTTGAGTGTCTCTTGCCCCAGTAACTGTTGGAAAGAGTCCCAATACCTATCCCCTTTCTCAGGACTTTCTTCTCTGCTTCTCTCCCTTCCTTGGCCAAAAAATTAAAAAAAAGAAAGGAAGGAAGGAAGGAAGGGAGGGTGGTGAGGGGAAGGGAAGGGAATAGGAGAGGATTTAAGATAGGATTGCTAGATTTGAAACACAATAAAACAAAACCCAGATGCCTAGTTAAATTTGAATTTCATATAAATAAATTAGTATTTTTCATTGTTAGTAGGTCACAAATATGCCATGAGACATAGTAAAAAAAAAAACCTACTATTAAGAGCTGTTAATCTGAAATTCAAAGTTGACTAGGCATCCTGCATTTATTTTATCCAACAGCCCTCACTTGAGAGGAGAGGACAGGAGAGAAAAGAAAAGAAAGGAAAAGAAAAGCCAGATCCACAGATTCCTTGTCCTTCCTCTCCTTGGGTCAGACCTGCTGCAGCCCCTGGGAAGAACCACCTAGAAGCTAGCCCAATTGATTTTTCTCCACGTCACAGGCCTCTGCTGGCCAACAGAGTTGGACTGCAGGAGTTGAAGTTCTAGGCCAAGGGGAAGGGCAGGATAATAGGAGAAGAGAGGAGCAAATGGAAGTTCTGCTCAGCAATGGTCTGGTGAGTATGTAAGGTCACTTAGAGTGATACTGTGGGCCAAGAGTGAGAGGCTGATGGCCCCGCCAGACAAAACCTAACCACTCAGAACTCATCTGTAGGGGGTTTCACCATGTTGAGCCTATACATCTAATCCATTATGTAATTCTATTCAAACTTTATGCCACCCTGTATTAAGGGAACTGAAAGAAAAGGGTCCAGCATAAGAAACTAGTTGGGAAGGCAGTAGGATTATGGAAAAAAGAGGTAGAGGCTTGGGAAGGAGTCATAAGAGGGAATGACAATGAGTTCCAAATTCAGTAACTCTTCAGTCACTTGGTTTGGCACTACTTCTAAGTGTTGCAGCATCCTGCAAGCCCAAGAAACATCCTGGGAAACATCCCAAGCTTGGACCTCTAGGGGCTCCAAGGTGGCATGCTTAGTGAAGGAGTTTTAAAATGCCAGTCCGTGGAGGGTCACTGGTCAGAGACAGTAGTTCACTGAATATGCCCCTGCCTCCCAAAGAACAAATGTTCTTAACACAATATTACTACCAGCTTTTTTGTAAAGCTGGAGTTGGGAAGTTTCAAAGGACCATCTTAGATTCTTTCTAAAAATTGTTTTCTTGGGCAGCACCTGTGGCTCAGTGAGTAGGGCGCCGACTCCATATACCAAGGGTGGTGGGTTCAAACCTGGCCCTGGGCAAAACGCAACAAAAAAATAGCTGAGTGTTGTGGTGGGTGCCTGCAGTCCCAGCTACTCAGGAGGCTGAGACAAGAGAATTGTCTAAGCCCAGGAGTTGGAGGTTGCTGTGAGCTGTGTGACACCTCCACGGCACTCTACTGAGGGCGATAAAGTAAGACTCTGTCTCTAAAAAAAAAAAATCATTTTCTTTTTTACAGAATATTATGGAGGTACCTAAGTTTCAGTTACATAGTTTGCTTTGTATAGATTGAGTCAAAGTTATAGGGTGCCTGTCACCCATATTGCGTGTACCCATTAAGTGTGAATTTACCCATCCCCTCTTCCCCCCACCTGCTATATTTTCATTGAGTTTCACTTCCATATGTACACATTCAAGTGTTAATCAATTAGCTACAATTTAGTACTGAGTGCATGTGGCATTTGTTTTTCCATTCTTGCCATACTTCACTTAGAAGAATGGTCTCCAGTTCCATCCAGGTTGTTAGAAAAGATACTAGATCACCACTTTTTTATGACTGAATCGTATTCCATGGTATACACACACCACATCTTATTAATCTATTCATGTTTTGGGGGGCACTTGGGTTGTTTCCACATCTTTGCAATTGTGAATTGTGCTGCTATAAACATTTTTTTTTTTTGAGACGGAGCCTCAAGCTATCCCCCTGGGTAGAGTGCCATGGCATCACGCTCACAGCAACCTCCAACTCCTGGGCTCAAGCGAGTCTCCTGCCTCGGGCTCCCAAGTAGCTGGGACTACAGGCACCCGCCACAACACCCGGCTTTTTTTTGGTTGCAGCCATCATTGTTGTTTGGCGGGCCCGGGCTGGGGATTCGAACCCGCCACCTTAGGTGTATGTGGCTGGCGCCTTAGCTGCTTGAGCCACGGGTGCCAAGCCCTGTTATAAACATTTGAGGATTGCCTTTTATTCTTCTAGGTGTGTGTCCTTCCTTTTTTTTTTTTTTTCTTCTTGAGTCAGAGTCTCATCCTGTTGCCCAGGGTAGAGTACAGTGGTGTCAGCCTAGCTAACAGCAACTCAAACTCCTGAGTTCAAGCTATCCTCCTGCCTCATCCTTGAGAGTAGCTGGGACTACAGGCTACAAAAATACCTGGCTAATTTTTCTATTTTCAATAGAGATCAGGTCTCACTCTTATTCAGGCTGGTCTGAAACTCCTAATGTCAAGGAATCCTCCCACCCTCAGCCTCCCAGAGTGCTAGGATTACAGGTTTGAGTCCAGGCAACCAGCCCTATCCTTCCTTCTTTTCTACCAAGTAATGATGGTGATGGTACATAGTAGTAGGTTTTCTATCTGTAATGTACTTTCCTGGTAAAATTAAAAGCTAATAATTTTAACAGTAGTATTCCATTGTTTACTACTGTCCTGCTGTTTCTACCATTCGTGTCAACCCTGTCCGTGCCTTTATCCTCAAGGTTTCCTGTTGTTTTAATTTCATCGAACTACAAAGGTTAAAGTTCTGGGAACTATTATTGAAGTGGTAAAAGCACAGAGATTGTTCAGACAGATATGGAGGTGCCGCTTATGTTTTTATGAATTTAAGATAGGATTGCTAGATTTGAAACACAATAAAACAAAACCAAGATGCCTAGTTAAATTTGAATTTCATAAAAATAAATAATATTTTTTGTTGTTAGTATGTCACAAATATGCCATGAGACATAGTAAAAAAAAGAACAAAAACACCCCTACTATTAAAAGCTGTTTATCTGACATTCAAAGTTGACTAGGCATCCTGCATTTATTTTATCCGATAGCTCTCACTTGAGAAGAGGGCTTAACTTTTTCATTCCTGACATAGAGTTTACTACATTTTACTTGGTTTTGAAGCCTTGTTAAATGGATAACAAAGATGTTGCCCTGAGATTGGAGGGAAGAGGGTCTTTGGCAATCATATTGTGCTACATGACCATCCATGTGATTTTTATCTAGTCAATTGCTAGGAGTCTAAAACAGGATTTACAAGAGTTCTTTTACAAACTTGGTGTAAAACTGAAAGAAAACACGTTGTATGAAACAGTTCCCCAAAGTGTTACTGTAGTTCCAAGCCCAAGACCCGGCAGACCAAGACTACACATCCCACAATCCTAAGCGGCGTCCCCAGGCCCTCGCCTTGATCCCCGGCCTCGTTCTCGCCAATCCCCGCCACTCCAGGGCTGTGGTAGCAGGCTGTTCTCGCGACTTTTTCTTTACTCTTCTGCCGTGCTACTAGTATCGCGAGATTTCCTTCTACTCTGCCGCTCCCTTTGCCGCCGCCTTAGCCGGGGACTCGAACCCAGCCTCTCCCCTATCCGAACACCGGCCCCGGCTCCACCGAGGCCCCGGTCCCCCAACCCCGCCTCGCCGCCGCCATGGCGGACCCTAAATACGCCGACCTTCCCGGCATTGTGAGTACAGGGCCGGCCCAGGCTCCCAGGACCGCGCCCCCGACTTCCCAAGAGCCCCCCACAAAAAGCAACCCTGGACCCCTCTTGTGCCCCAAGGGCCCCGGCCGCTCGCTCTCGGACCGGCCTTAACACCTTCCAGACTCTTTTGACCCGACTGGGACTTGCTATCGGAACAGACCAGGCCCCCATCGCCGGTTTCTTGGCCCAGAAATCGTCTCTGGGTGTTTACTACTGTCCTGCTGTTTCTACCATTCGTGTCAACCCTGTCCGTGCCGTTCTGAAGCTCCTCATAAGAGTCTCCATCCCTATCCCCCAAACACACATCCGGCCACTTAGTGACGGCCTTTGTCCTGCCAAGGAAGAGGTTACCATGGCAGAACCCTTCTTGTGCTAGATGGGGAACTCTGTTCTTTGGGGAACCCGTGCCTTGGCCCGATTCCCCGCCCCTCCGCCCCGGTATACCTGCTCCTTTTGTGCTGCCCTGCCTGTATTCTCTGGTGGGGGTGGGGACAGAGGACCTATTACCAAGGTCCTGAGTCACTCTGAACCCTTGTGCCAGGGTAGTGGTGTACAAGGCCTAATTTGAGGATAGCTCTCACCTACTTCTGACAGCGATTGCCAAGGCCCCTCTTCCCTCCAGTCTCAGGGGAAAATCTTTGTTATCCACTTAACAATCACCGATTGCCATCAGTTCCCAGTTGTCCCCGCTGTTACTCCACCCTTCTGAGACCTGGGAACTGAGATGCTGTTCACAGAGCCAGTGGAGGAGAAAGGGACAGAATCATTGCATCACAACCTGCCTTCTCCATTAGCTTGATCAAAGGGAAAAGGAGTGGGGTGAGGGGTGTTGTGGGTGCTGGATAGTGAGTTTGGGTGGTCACTGCTTCTACCTGCAGGCCAGAAATGAGCCAGATGTTTATGAAACCAGCGACCTACCTGAGGATGATCAAGCGGAATTTGATGCGGTAAGACTGTGTGCTGCCACAAGACTCCTCTGGACTATGACCTCTCTGCCCTAGATAGGCCCTTCCCTTTCTTTGGCAAGCCACAGCAATAAGCGGGTATGCCAACCCCAGCCTGGGTGGTATGTAGATTGTGGGGCTTGCAGCCACCAGTGAACAGTGTCAGAAAGGAAAGTCAAGTTAGTTACAACTAACAAGACCTGTTTGCAAAGCCCTGATCACTGGGCTTTTTAAATAAAATTGTATCTCAAAACAGGTTTGGGGCCAGTGAAATGGTTAGGCCTCTGGGTTCTAATCCATGGCCACGAATAAGGAAAACTGAACATTTATTAAAGCACTTGAAGTTAGGAAGGCTAACATATTTCTTAAAGTACTTCACTTAATACATGCTCATTAGTTGCTACCAAGAACTGGACTTTGAAGAATAGAGAAATACTTTTTTATATGACTATTCAGTATCCACTGGGCAAGGAATAAAAAGTGATTTGGCAATTTTAGAAGGATAAGAGACCTGTCAGAGCAAAAGAAATTAGAGGAAGAACATGAATCTTTCATATCAGCAGTGGAGAGGCTGTGGTACCACTTTCAGATCCAAGAATTCTGAGAAGGGAAAAATTAGTTGTGGATACATTTTAACTAGGAGAGGAAACACTCAGCATTGTTTGTTGAATGTGTTTTTTCTATGTTGATTTTTTGTGCAATGCACAGGCTCAAGGAGCCCCAGACTCCTTAGGATTAAGATATGTATAGAGAACATATGGAAGGAAAAAACCAAAATTGAACGAATGGAAATCAGCGTAGTAAAAACTTTGTGTAAGTGCCAACGGGGACAAACATCTATTAGCATGTTTTAGGTTCTGTTATTTCCGAAGAGAGCTGGGCTGGGATCTCAGTAAAGATGTGACTAAAGAGTCATTGCAGTGAGTGTGTCTGTGAGTCCTGTGGCTATGTCTGTGGGGCTGGTTAATTCTGGGAAATGCTGGTTGCTGGCTTATAATGTATGGCTTGGCGTACTCACTTATTCTTTATTTGATTCCCCTATGTGGAAGTGGGAAGGTGTGGGAAACACCTTCCCTGTTTCCTCTCTCAGTGGTGTGTTCCTTGTGGCTTGTGTACTTGCTGGCATGTCAATCTGTCCCCCAAGCTTGAGTATCCTGGAGATAATACAGATGATATTGTTGTCCAACAACTTGGGTGTGCCCCTGTTAGTCCAAGATGTATCTGAGGGGAAACTGCCTCTACCTTCACGAGGTAGGAGTGTATACAATCAGCTATCAATATCCATGGTTCCAAACCCATGGATTCAACCAACCATGGATTAAAAATATTTTTTAAAAATGAAAAATAATAATACAACAATAAAAAAAATACAAATTTTAAAAACATGATCTAACAACTATTTACATAGCATTTACATTTTACTAGGCATTGCTAATAAAATATCTTTTTTTTTTTGAGACAGAGCCTCAAGCTGTCCCCCTGGGTAGAGTGCCGTGGCATTACAGCTCACAGCAACCTCCAACTCCTGGGCTCAAGTGAGTCTCCTGCCTCCGCCTTCCAAGTAGCTGGGACCACAGGCGCCCGCCACAATGCCCGGCTATTTTTTGGTTGCAGCCGTCATTGTTGTTTGGCGGGTCCGGGCTGGGGATTTGAACCCGCCACCTTAGGTGTACGTGGCTGGCGCCTTAGCCGGTTGAGCTATAGGCGCCGAGCCGCTAATAAAATATCTTAAAACAGGTTTGGGGTTAGTGACTTAGGCTTCTGGGTTCTAGAGATGATTTAAAGTATATAGAAGAGCTGGGTGAGGTGGCTCACACCTGTAATCCTTATACTTGGGAGGCCAAGGCATTGTAGATGTCCTGAGCTCATGAGTTTGAAATCAGCCTGAGCAAAAGTCAGACCCCCATCTCTAAAAAATAGCTGGGCGTTGTGGCAGGTGCCTATAGTCCCAGCTACTTGGGAGGCTGAGGCAAGAGAATTGCTAAAGCCCAAGAGTTTGAGTTGCTGTGAGCTGTGTGCCACAGCACTCTACCAAGGGTGACAAAGTGAAACTCTGTCTCAAAAATAAATAAAAAGAAGGTGTATAGGAGGATGTATGTAGGTTAGATGCAAATACTTTGCCAATTTATATAAGGGACTTGAACACCCACAAATTTTGGTGTCTAAGGAGGGTCTCAAGCCAGTCCCCTGCAGATAAAAGAAGGATGAGCATATACTGGGAACTTCACTATTCTAACACAGTTCAGAGTCTGCAAGTCAGGCCTAGGCCTCTGCCTATGAAATATCAAACCTTCATTGTAAAATAATTAGTAGAACTCTCCCCTTTGTCTCTTACTGTGATACAAACAAGTAGTATCAGAGCAATCCCCTTTACAAACAAAAAAATACATTGTCATTTTTCTTTTTGGGGGGCAGTTTTTGGCTGTGGCCAGGTTTGAACCCACCACCTCCGCAATATGGGGCCGGTGCCTTAATCCTTGAGCCACAGGCACCACCCTTGTCATTTTTCTTTTAAAGGTTCTGGGATATCCCTTAATAAAAAGAAGATAACGTCTATTCTAGGTGTAAAAGAACTTGACTCTGCATCTCGGATTGGTTGTTTCTCTCTGCAGAGCCTGAGCAGCCTATTTTGGTAGCATCTGGTGGGGTGGCTTATGGGGAGAGCATGAACCATGAGCATTCATTGCCTGTGGCATGTTGCCTGAGATGCTAGTATAGAAGTGCACGGGAGCTGGATGGCAAATACCAGAGGAATCGAACTGCCTCCATCTCCTAAGGCTCAGCTAAGTGACTGCCAGTCACTAGGGAAGAGTGGGGTGGGGAGCCATTTAGCTGCTTCAGGAGCCCTTAGGGCTTAGATGTTTCCTGATGTCAGCTAATGTCTCTGGCCCCTGCTTATCCCTATGGGCCTTAGGAGGGCAGCTTTCGGGAAGTCATCTGAGTAATTGCTCTGCCACTGCTCTCAATACTGACGTAAATATGCAACTTGAGGAGCAGTGAGTTGTATGCTTAGATAATCCAGAAATGTGTCCATGAGGCCTGGAATCTTACTAGCAGCCTGTCCTCTTCATAAGTGACAGTGCACATCACTTCTCTTGTGACTAAACCATGAGGTTTTCAGTCACTTTCTTTTTTTTTTTTTTTTT